AGTTTTCGCAGGTTGACACAACCTTGGCTTCACCAGGTTATACCATTTCTGTACGAGTGTCAAAAAATAATGTACTCATCAATCGCTTTGTCTACAGTCAATGCAAAATCTATAATAAATATGCAGCCTTGATATGGCAGGATGTTAGCAATTAAAATTAATTTTTTCCTTCAAAATATTTAAAACAGAAGTTATAAAGCATAGAAAATATATAAATACTTTATTTCTACTAGTTTATTAGTGTCCATCAACACAAATTTAAAAAGTTTGGGAGAGAAAACGCTTTGAAAAAGCTTTAAAATAAACATGAAATGAAATTTTAAAATTCTTAGTGGATGTCTGGGACGTCAAAAATAATTTGCAAAACTCAAATTATTTTCAGCTTTAAGCAAGGGAAGGAATACGGCGATGACTTAAATTGATTTAATTGCTATTTAAATTAGCTTGAATTTACAATTTAATGCGTATTAAAAATGCATTCTGATATTTCTTGTAACAAAAATTCACCTTTTCATTCTTAAAAAAAATCAGTTTATTGACGAGAGATGAATAAATGAAATATTTTACTCCTCGCATAAAATAGCTTTTCGGATTCAAAGTCGCACATCTCATAGTTTTAGTTGAATTGAAAATTGCGTCGTCGCAGATTTTTGCCCAAACCGCACGCCTCTTTCCTTTTGCTTCTCTTCACAATCGCTGACAAAGCATCGCATCTCGCGGATTTAATATCATTCCCATTCCACCCCAATTCGTCGGAAAAGATATTTGCGCGCATTTCAATATATATTAATTCGGCTGCGGCGGCGGATGTGCTCACACGTGCGATAATGCGCATATTTATGTGTGTGTGCGAGAGAAGCTTAGCAGATTAGAAGCTGCACACGTGGAGACATTCATTAGAACCGCCGTCGGTGATTATTCGAGCTGAGAGAGCAGTTCCTGCTGCTGCTGCTGCTGATCACCCCATTCTCCATCGTTCGAAATCAACCCCTTTGCCGCCATTTACATTAATTGCTGCCTTAATTGCAGCTCTCACTTCGACAAACCTTTTATTTTCCCAAAGTGTGCGCCCGACGAAAGCAATTTGATACTTTGTTTGAATGCCTAACCGTGAAAAAGTTTATAGGTGCTGAGAAATTTACGGTGCCAAATTTTTTTCCTAATGAAGCTCTGCGCTCGTTTTTGGAGCGACACCAAAAATTGCCTCATAAAAACACGGATGAATCGCGGTTCGCCGCCAGATTTATGTATAAATCTCATTGTGAAACGACTCTTTCAAACCGAGATAATACTGGAGAGCGCTGAAAGCTGAAAACGAGTGGGCAACGAAATGTGGAGAAATGGAAAAGAAAACTATGTTGGCAAAGCCACCCGAGACAACTTTTCTCCTTTTATAGAGCGATGGAATTATCATTATTATGCATACGCGCGAAGAACGTTGACGTCGAGGAGAGTCCCAGTTTTGTTCTTAAGCAGTTAATCAACTTAGTAATCGCTTTTGTGTGCAGCGCCAGCCTCAGGGCTTGTTGCGTCACTCTCATCTAACTTTCCTCGACAGAACATAATGGTTGGTTGTTGCCGAAGAGCAACTTGAGAGCTGAAAATCCAGAGGCTCTGTTTCGATTAACATTCAATAATCAAGAGCTTCTGGCGCTGTTTTGATCACAAAGTTGCCAAATTTTGCGTAGCAATTTCAATATACAAATGGGATTTTTTTTCTTGCCAATGTAATAAAAATTAAGTTTTATTGTATTTTTAATTAATTCATTTTGAAGTGGCTAACCTTTAGAGGTAGAAGAAATTTCATAATTCATAATAACAAAAGAACAATGGAGCCATTCACAAATCTATATAAACATTCAACATTTTTGTCAGCAGTTGAACTCACAGAAATTATTTGGGACCCGTTCGAGCATTGAATTCATAAAAATAGATAAATATCAAGTTGAGTATATTCCCTTGAGCTATATTTTTATATTCAATCACGAAAAGAAATTCCAATTTTTTTTTCTGAATAGAGAACCATAAAATCTCTGAAATAAATACATCAAAAATAAAAAATTTCTTTCGTTACAACTTACAACGCCTTTTGTGAGAGGAATCGTTTTGACCGAGAATTGCCGAGCTCCAGACGCGATAAGCCTGGCTGCAATAAAATATTAATTGCGCGACACATATACAATGGAATTAACTTTCGTAGCGCATGCAAGGTGGCCATAAAGGCGCCGGGGCAAGTTAACTGCGGGCCGCAGCGGCGGAAGATAAAACCGGGTCGTTATTCCGATCTGAGAATTATGTATCATTGGCATGGAAAGAGTAGTGCGGTTAGAATATCCCGCCCTCGCTTTTCCTTCTGGATTCAGGCCCTATAATCGTCTGCCAGGCTAAAAATTCGAGAAAGCTTTTAACGCCTGGAATGCTGCGTCGGAAACAATACAAAAAGTCGCCTCGTGGTAAATTGACGGTGTGTGTGTGGGTTGGAAAAGATGTGTCAATGAATGTGTCTCGTTTGGTGCCGAGTGATCCAAATTACACGGCCGCTTGCCGCTAGAAGGCTTTCCATGTTGAAAATAGATATGCATCTAATGGTGCTTGATGACTTCTTGTTCTCCACCCTATGCACGTCTCTCCTTCCCGAGTGCACCTGTTATGAGAAAGTGACATGCCAACGGGTTGGTTTGCTCGGCGACTTTTTAAAAATTCATTTGAGACATTTTTCTCCAGTATACCTGCGTGGCCGAGGCTATTTTCAGACTTTTTGGAGTGAGAGTATAACGGGGAGGGCAGACGAACATTTAGTTTTATTTGAAAAGTTTTACGTGGGACCAAATTGTTTTGAATAATACAAAAGGTGTTGTGTTACAATGAATTGTTGCGTCCTCTGAAAAATGCAAAATATTTCATCACAGAAAATTCAAGAACTATTTGAATATAAATTATAATCCAAAGATTTATGTAACAAGTTTGTTCTTGAGAGTTTCAACGTTATTTTCATCAAATTCACTGTCAAAAATTAATTATCTTGACAAACTTTATTGAGTTTAGAAAAAAAGAATGGTTCATGACTTTTTATTTTACTTTTTTATTGCCATCATAAATTTTGTCAAGTTCATGTATATGAGAACTTGCCTTTATTTTAGTTATGCTCGTTTGCCAAACCAGACAAGATTATCCCTCTAGTGTGGCAATTGACTTAAATATCGGGTTACTTTTGCAGCCCAGGCGGTCCCATAAACATTCAGCGCACTAATTTGTGCGAAAACAGAGCGATCCTTTGTGCACGTGTGGCCACGCAAAGAGCAACGCCGTGCGAACGAACGGAGGCTAATTAAAAAAGTGCAGCACAAGGCGCCAGACTAATTACAAATCCTTTCTGCAAACGCGACGGCACCAAAGGAGTCTTGTTCGCGAGCACCAAGGTGGAAAAGAACAAGCTGCGCACATTATCGCACATGCAGAATCTTGGCAGTAATCGAAAAACGAATATAAGCGCATAAAGTATTCGCTCACATGATTTTATACATTTAAAAAAGTTGTAACTCTTTTTATCCGACGTGTTCTGAGCCGCATGGATTTTTTGCAGTTGCAAGTCGTAAATTTTAATTCGCTTTATGGCGCAGGAAGGCATTACATCCATAATGTTTGATTTCGAGCTGCAGTAATCCGAACGGCCGCTCTTTATATATTATTGCTCAACCCGTTCTTTTTTTCTTCGTCTGCTCCAGCTATTTTTATACGCAAAACAAATGTTTATGTGCGTGTGTAGTTAGTGAGAGGTCGACTTTTTGTCTTTGATATGCGCCACGGCTATTTTTCTCTGTTTCTCGGTGGAAATGTTTTGCCTGCGCAAATAATACATCAACTCGCGCGCTGTGTTTCGTGGACCGCGCGCGGCAAAATAAAAGATAGAGCTCTCTCGCGCCTTCTGTATATAAATTTTATGGCGTTCGTAATCAAATGAAAGAGTGCTTGTGCTTATTTTTATACGGCTGCAGACACCCCCGCGAATTTTGCAGTGGCAAACAGCACACGCATGCACAAAGTTTATCGTTCACTGGAATTTATAGCTCATGCGTCCTGGAAATGGAGAAACTATTTTGATTCCTGCATGTCTGGAGCAGAAAAATTAAAAAATTAACTGCAAGTCTTTTTTGCTTATATAATTTATGAAGAAGTGGTGTCTATTATACATTTGCAGCTCACCTTGTCAAGTCGGAAAAAATAATATTGCCGTTAATATTAAAATTTAATTCTTGAAAATTTATTTTGCCCATTCACTCTTTAATATTGTTGGCGCGTTAATATAATTTGAAACTTTATAAAACTCTAACGGTATGAATCTGTTAAGTCTAAATTACCATACGACGAGTCTTCTCTCAGCCGCAGCACTCAAATGAAGATTTTCTCTCTCCCCGTAATCCAATTAACGCGTGCTTTATTTATAAAATAGAATGCAAAAAAAAAAACGTCACATATAAACCAAACTCTTGCAGGGCACAGGTTGTAGAGTCTTGTTGACCCCATTGCTGGCTGCTGTTTCAATAACCTTTGCATTCGCAAGGAAAAACTCTACGTTTCGCTAATTGGAACGGAGCTTATAATGCATGCAGAAGTTCTCAAGTGCGCACCATTTCCACAATTAAGTGCACTGTAAAGGTAAATTACGAATTTTTCCATTGCTTTATAAACTTATTTATATCAAGAGAAATTAAATTTGCACGTGCCCCTTATCCAGAGCAGAATTTTATATATACTTCTGCAATCTAAATAGAGATAAGGCGCAGCGATGATGATCATATCATGCGCGCACACACACAAGTAGCTTCTTTGAAGTACTTTTTTAGTGCCCGTACTTTGCTCTTTAAAGTTTCACACTTTCACGAAGGGCTGATTTCAGTGTGCAAAAAGCGTGCATAAAAAAGCACGCAGGAAATCCTCTGGAATTGTCTGATGCGAGGTGCGTCTTTGAAGCGGAGGGACGTTATCACAGGCAATAATAAGGCTCAACCCTTCAGCAGCGGCGAGAGCAAATATTAATTTACGAGATAAATCGGCTTCGACGACGCTGTGCCGCTTATCGTGCGCGCACGCCTGCCTCCTGCGAGTGCAGAGCCACAGGGCGGCGGGCGAAATCCCCTCGTGGGCCGCTCCATGCACAGCCACTCCAACCACCAGTGATCCTGCATCCGCTGCTCGCAGTCAGTCATGCTCGCGATGCGCTGGGGTTCGAACAAGAGACGCTCCTCTCGCAGGAGTTCCTCGCTCGAGTTGAGGGACTCGTTGCTGCAGGCGCCGCCGGCCAGAAGGGACGAGTGTCCCAGTTGGAACTGCCTCAAGTGCGCGTCCAGCGCCGACAGGGCGTCCGAAAGGATCTACACGCCACTCTGGGAACTGTCCAGCACGCCTAGGGACAAGAGGCGTCTTGGCTACGATGTCATCAGACCGGCCACCACGCAGAAAATCCCTAAGTACTAAAAATTAATTTTTATTAAAGTAAATAAATATTATTATTTATTATTTACTAGTTTTAAGTAAACATTAATTTATTATTTATTATTATAATCTTTTTAGTATATTAATTTTTTCCTAAATTTTCCACGAACTTTTTAGCAATTAATCTACCATACTTTAGCCGATTTTTCAGTTTTTTTTATTTGATTTTATATTTATTTGTTGTGATTTCAACATATAATGAAAATTGATTACATCTGTGTAAACCCTAATGTCTGGTTAGCTTTTCTGTGATTAGTATCAAAGTTAATTATTGCAATGTTATTCACACTTAACTTGAAATTTTGTGCTTCATTTGTCTTGTTGACAAGTTGAAGTTTAGATTACTATTTAATCTTTAATCATTATATAATTATTTATATATAAAATTATAACACTCATGCAACAAATAGCTCCACTCCTCATTTCAATTTATATTTTTGTGATCATGAAGCCATTTAAAAACGTCTTCCCAGTCTCTGCATATCACCAGTCTCTCTTAGAGCATTTTAGAATCTCAAATGAATGCTGCTTGAATATAGAGTTGATGGAAAGCATCTCATTCAAATGGCCGGCAATTGAATTTAATTGAGTCGTTAACATGCGGTCCAATAACTACATTTCAAGCTAAATCGGCTACTATGGCTTTATATTTGGCCTGAATGTGCTCCAGAGATAAAATCGTTTTCTTGTTTACTTTTGCTGCATGCATATCTATTTGTTTCCAAATATTTGCTAAGGAAGATTTCCCATTGATTTACAGAACCTTTTCCAAATAATGTAAAATTCAAAAGGCAGTTATATATAAGCCTATAAATTCGGAAGGGGTGATTGAAAGTCTTTTCTAACGGAAACGTCATAAAAAGATTTAATTAAAAATAATCAATCTTTTTTAGTGGAAATTTTTACATAAAAGGGATGAGTGATGGAAAGACTTCGCAGGGTCTTATGAATAATTAATACGCTGTGAACAAAAGTCCCATAAATCTTGCAGAGAGCCAGGAAATTAGGAGACCCGCGCCGTGGTGGTGCTCTAAAGCGCGAGACTCAATTAGAATATTAAAAGATAGTTAACTCGAGTCTGCACCGTCGGCGCATGGGTGACTAATATTTCAATTATTGCCCGTCGTCAGAAGAGGATGCCAATTTCCTCGTGGCATCAAGGAAAGGGTTCGCTGATGGCAATCGGCCCTTTCTCTCTGCATGAGAAAAGCAAACCCCCCTGCTCGTCATTATTTTATTCATGGTTGTAAGTCTGTTTGACGTCATGGTACAGTCTGAAGGAGCAGCAAATCGCTTCGGCAAACTTGAGTGCAAATCTTCGGAATCAATTACTATTCCGTCGCAATTGAACGGGCCAGACTCATTTGCGGGCGCAATCACACAGAAAATGAGAGCAACAACAACTCTGCGGAAAATTCACTTTTGCTCCGCCGATGTAAATTATTATTATTTATTTTTTGCTTTCTGCCTCGTTGCGATTCGTTTTCAATGCTAATTGCACAGCGATTTGTGTGCTTCGTGAGGTCTTCACTCTTCAGAGTACATGCGATGCAATATAACTTTTTGTGAGGTTTGTATTATAAAGACGGTGCTTATTGAAATGCTCCCCCGCCGAGCAAGCAATACAAACTTTCAACCCGTTGGAAAAAAATTGAGCCGGATGGAAATAGGTTGTCTGAAAGAAAATATTTATACGTTCGAGCGTGGTTGAACTTTCAGGGAAGTGGAAGTTCAAATCGCGCGGCGCACCCAAAACATTTTTAAAAGGAATGAATGCTGGAGATACGAAAGAAATCAAACAGCCCGCGTCTGCTGCCGTGAAAGAAAAGTATTCACGTCCGATTTGAGTGAGTTAAGCCAAAACATAAGGCGTCAAAACAGCCACAGAAACGCTGAATGTTCATTTAAAAAATTCCACACCCGCCGCGTGAGAACTGATTAAATGTGCGTGGATATGGGTGCAGTCAAAGGAAAGGGTTGTGGATTGTAGGTACAATCTTTTTCAGCATCAAATATTTCATAATGTATTCCAATTAATTATAAATTTTAATCCTTAAATATAAAAATAAATTAATTTTTTAAATTTATTTAAAAACTCCCTTAAATTTTATCAATTTATTTCCTATTTTTTATGAATTAAATAAAATTAAAATTACAATAGTAAGAATTCAACATTTATCACATTTTTTTTTCACATGCAATTTCAATGACAAATTTTAATTACAACAGGCTCATGTTTCATAATAATGAAGGTAATGTGAGTAATTAAATTGTCCTTATTCTATCGTTTTCCTATATTGGTTTATAATTTTTTTTAAATTTTAATAAAAACATTATTCAAAACTATCTCTTCAATGGTTGTCTAAAATCTACACCCAAACCGTGGCCACGGCAACAGTTCACGGACAACAAGCGGCGTCTTTTTCCATCTCCACCCTCATAAACGAAGCACCGGGAGACCCACCGAAGACAAGGGGGTGTAAAAAACACAGCCGGCGTGCACATGGCGTGACGTCACGGGCGCCGGAAATAGGGGCGAATCGCGCTTTTCGGGAGTTATTGTCCGTGCGCCCTCATTAAGGTGTGTGCATGTGTTTTGCCTACCTAATGAGCAACAAACTGCACAGAGAGCGAACTGTTGATTTATTCGCTCGACGGACAGACTCTTTTCATTTGCATGCTCCGCCCGCAATTGAACTTCGCGGATTGTTAATATGCTGCTGCTGGAGGATTGTGAAAGCAAATCGGCGTTTGATCGCGTCAGCGTGGGCGACCAGAGGTAAAATGTCAATTCTTTTTTATCCTATAATATTCCCACCGTGTGTATTATAGTTTTGACGGGTGGATTAATTCACTCGATCAAACACACAACTCGTGGGCCGAACGGAGATGGCTTTTAATTTTTTTGCTCAGTGTTTGTCTCTCTTGACGGCAGAGAGAAATTTTTCCAACTCGGTATATTATATCGATTTTTCTGCGGCCGCAAGCACCTGGCCTTGAGGCCGACAGGATGGATTTCTGTCTGCAGAGACTGCATTTTGCAGCTGCACTTTCATTTGGCGTCAACTTTGTTTTAAAAAGCACTGCAGATGGAAAATGCCAAGATTATTCCCTCAGGATCGCGATGCTCAAGTGGCCTTAATTTTGAGAAAATTGATAGCATGCAATCTGCCTAGCAAAGTGCCATTAAGGAGCTCTGCCTCTGCAAAAAGTTGTTTCAACGGCGCGCTTTAATATAGAAGTTGTAAAAGTGGCCTTTTTGCGAGGCTCCATCCTAAGTTAGATTAGACTAAAATTAAGCGAGAGATGAGAGCAAAAAATTAAGGTAATTCGAATTTCTCAGCAAAGAGAAATTATATTTGTTTATGGGTTTTCGTATGGCAAGGTCTGGAGCAATTTAGAGAGATTAAATTATTTAAAAAAAAGCATGATGTTTTCCATTAATCACAAAAATTTTATAGCAAAGGTAATCATTGTAATAGGGATTTTCAAATATTTTTTTCATTCAAAGTAGTTAAGTTTCATATTGCATTTTAATAAGGTTTTAAGTTTCCTGCTTGTTTGTTGTTGTATTTAGTCTACCTCCTATAATTTATTAGTAAGTCCTGAGTTCGCCAAACAAGTTCTCCTTTGTCTCTCTCAAAAGTTAATTTCCTCTCCCAAATGCGAATGAAAACTGACTCCAATTAGTCTCTCGTATTTTCCTTTCGTTTTTTTGAATAATCCTTTGAGGTTGCGCTCGGCTTTCCTCGATAAAGCGGCATTCACTCCGCGAGCTAAAATTAAAGCCGCGCTCAGCAACAGAGCTGCAGATGAGCACGAAGTACACGCACACGTTCCCTCTCCCTCCCGGACGAAGCAGCGAAATAAAAAAACGCACAACTTCACGTCGCTGAGAGGGATATTGGCATAATGCGAGTAAACGCAAGCAGCCTCATCGCTCATGTGTGCTAGGCAGACAGACGCGATCTTGTAATTATTGCAGGCGTATTACTCGAGCGCGAAAGTGCTCCGGCAGACTGGCTGCCGCTCGCTCAATATTTTTATTTTTTATTTAGTCGTGCTTAATGAGAGAGCGAATTTTATTTTTATTCCGGCCCGTGTTTCATCGGAGTAATTAATATTCAGTCGGAGCCGCCACCGCAAATGAATTAATATGTATATGAATGTGTGTTCTGGGAGTTGGAATGCATTTTTTTTTTAATTCGTCCATTCAATCCGCCCTTCTCGACGGGCATGCAAGCGTGCGGGATTATTGGTTTTTACGAGCAAGAGTGTGTTGTGTGTGTGTTTATTTTTGCCACGCTGAGCCATCGCTGATGAATTAGTCTGGAAATTTTTGTTGCACGGTGCGGTCGTGTATTACAAAATACCCCAACGTGAAATTCGATACAGCCACGTGGATGAATTTAAATATTGAAGGGCCCTTTGCTGCTCAACAATTCGCTTGTTATGATGATGATTAGCCGATTTCGCAATCATGGGTTAATCTTGAAAAGCAATGAATTGTTATTATTTTTTTATTTATCGTATTTTGTTAATTAAATGGGACTTGTATTCAATGTATTCATGTCCAGCATAAAGATTTGTTCAAGATTCCTTACAAAAAGATTGAGAGGGTAAATGCGTACAGTTTAATTAATTATTATAAAAATAAATATAACGTTTTAAGAGAAATAGAATTTTTTAGTTTATAGGAAATTTAGTTTTAATTCAATCTTCTCAATTTTCTAATTTCTAACCTATTTAATTGCTTATTTTTTTGTTTCACTTTTAAATTTTTTTAATTTGTTCACGAGTTTTATTATTGCGAAGCAGGAAATTGAAAGACGTTGAAAACCAACCGTCGTATGTATGCATCTTGAGAAAGCTGGTAATGCGACAAAAAGTGCAACGCGTATCAAAACTCGAGACTAGGTGTGTGATTATCGAGGTTATCCTGTGCAGCTCTCCGAATGCATCAAGAAAAGTTTCT